TATGAATGCGAGTATTATAAACAATTTAACTGTTATATATAAACAGAGGGTTTTTTAAGGTATTCGGGGGCAAGACTTCTAAAAATAATTTAAAAAAATCTGCGTCTATTACTAAAAAATATTTAGAATTGTAGCGGCTCATGAGCGGAGCTGGTATGGCTTCTTCTGAAATAACAAGATTAACGTTTTACGCCTTGTTCAGGAATTGCTTTCAGCTTATGCTCTGAGTCCATCAGCATGGGCAAGCGTGGTTAATGATCTTAAGCCTTCAGTGATCCGATCCCTCCTCACTACGAATTAAATCCTCAACGATGCTTTTCTTAACAAACTGACATCTGTCTAAGAATGCGAGACCAATCAATCCTATCAATCTGTGCCTTTTCATAGATCGACCTATAAGAGTGCCTCCTAAAGGAACCGTCCTCTAAACGAAAAGGTCGTAACCGCAGACAAGAGGATAGTATTTTCCTTTTCCAGATCCTTAACTTTTCCATCTGATGTGACGAAATGTCATACCAGACAGGAAAAGCATAGGCAATGGTAGGCCTGATCACCTGCCGGTAGATCAAGAGCCTAACCTCCTGGGAAAGACCACCTCTCATCCGCAAGACCCTACTATATCCGAAGAAGAGACCTTTCGCCCTATTAAGGATGTAGTCTACATGGCGGATAAAATCGAACCTTTCCTGAAATACTACCCCCAAGTATTTCAGCTTATCCGACACTGAAACCTGCTCCGAACCTATCTTCAGAACCGGCTGAAACCTCCTAAAATTAGGATAAACAACACCTGGCCTACCAAGGAAGACCGCAGCGCTACATTTTCCTACATTCAACTTAAGACGCCATCTAACGAAGTACCGATGAAGTGCATCAAGGTACTCGTTAGCGCGCCTATTAACCGCCCTAGCAAGTGGACCAGAAAATGCTAACAGGACGTCATCGGCATAGGTCAAAAGAAGACCACCAGGGGGAGGAGCCGGAATGTCGCACGAAAAGATATTGTACAACATAGGACCGAGCAAAGAACCCTGAGGAACATCAGCAAAAATCGGGCGTTGGCTAGAGAGCCGATTACCCACCCTCAATCTAAAAACACCATTCTACATGTTTGACTATCAAAGCCAAACGACTGGAATTTATATAAAATTCCATCATGCCAGACTGAATCGAAAGCCTTGGCAATATCTAACGACACAGCTATAGTTCCGTATCTCCTATCGAAACCTTTTCCAACGAAGCTACTTAAAACCGTTAAGGCATGGACCGCAGAAAGACCCGGCCTAAAACCAAACTGGCAGTCCCGCAGAATGTTCCTATCCTCAACAGTTCTTCTAATCCTGGCTAGAATAAAGGATTCAAATAACTTCCCAAAATGCGAGAGAAGGGAGATAGGCCTGTAGCTACCGCACTGAGAGGGATCGGAACCCCGCTTCAGTATGGGAACTAACAAAGCCTCCTTCCAAGCCCTAGGGAAGTATCCTAAATTCAGGCAATGATTAAAGAGAATGGTGAGGAAGGTCAAAACTACGTCACCTGCCCTTTTCAACGCTACGTCTGGGATATTGTCCATACCACAGGATTTACGCGATGACCGGCGTGAAAGCGCAAAGCCAACGGACCTGGGGTCGACAAATCCACCAACTTCCCAAAGAGAGGTGTTGTCCACAGAGGAGCCATTTGCAGAAAATGAACTGCTAAACGACACGATAGGAGAATGGTCTTCAATCCCCTCAATCGCCGAGCTAACATGGCGGTTGAAGAGATCGTCGCCCAAATCTCCCCCGTGTCGAAGCGTTCCCGGCACTTGGTCCGCCAACATCTCAGCCCTAAGCTGATCGCAACTAACCCTAGAACCATCCGAGTAAGCAAGAGGTCCGACAGGCTCGCGTGAAGCTAGACTGCCAACCGTTTAACCTTGCCGAACGTCTTCGAATTTACCGTGAGCCCCTCAAGGAAATTCGTATACCGTCCGCTCTCGAACTGCCGAATATTGGCATCAATAATTCGGTCAAGGTTGCGAATATCTGCCCTGAGGACAGGAAGTCGCTCAGGATCGCCAGATCTACGTAACACTCGACAGAGCCGCCTACGCTCCCTAATAAAGCGAGTGACTTTAGGTGGAATGTTGCCCAATACACCCATCTATCTCCGATAAGGATACATTGCGGTCGGCTGGTAGAGTAACCTCCTCCAAGCCCCTACGCAAACGTTCCCTATATCGACGGATGTTCATCCTGCCGAAATTGAAGAAAGTTCTAACCGAACCTAATTCTATCGAACCACAATCGATCTCAATGAGAATCGCCGCGATTTTATTGAAATTAGATTGAGCTTTGGTACTACTTATGAGAAGCAAGATCCTCGTCTAGTATTGGTTGTGTAATAATGTAGTAATATCAGTGTTGTAGTTTTTGGTACTATTTACAGATTATTTACATATGTAACCATTACTTTCAAATATTTAAATAAGAGTTGCATTTTAGTATTTAAACGTATGTGTTTATGCTATAGTAATTAAAATTTGAATAAAAAATAGAGCTGATCCGCTTTAGTCTCTCCCTCTGATGCTGAAATCGTCTCGATGATGCATCAGTAATAAAGGTTTGTGGAATCTGATAGATGTTAAGTAAAGCTGGAGTGTTGATTCAGTAATGAAGATGGCGTTCTCCGGGATGTCTCTGGGTTCTGCAAAATACCATATTTTCTCGGAACTGCATAATCTTCCAATAGCAGCTGCAATCCGTTCACTGCGTCTGCGTCAGAGATTGACTCGATGTCTTTATATACTGTTATGGATGTCACAAATTCTTCAACTGCGGCGGCATCTCTCTGCCCCCCCCGAAAACGCAAAGTACAATGGGAAAACGAACCCGTCCGGTTGTTGTTCTGCATTGCCTGGATCAGTTGTTTAAATTGGTTTTCACTAAACTGCGTCGTCTCTTCTTCTTCACCTGATACGTACTGGTCGCTGTCTGATTTGTTGTTGTTGTCCTCGGCTTTTACCTATAGGCCGTAGTTCGTGGCCACTGGGTTGGGCGACAATAACGCACGCTGGACGTTGTGTGCCAATAAAGCAGCTCCACGTTGGGCGTCAATAAAGCAGCTCGTGGGCGGAGCTGGTATGGCTTCACCCAAACAACAAGATTTAAAATAATGCTTTTACTCCTTGTTTAGGAACTACTTCCAGCTTATGATCGGATTCCACCAACATGGGCAAGTGTGGTTAATGATCCTAGAGTCTAAACGCAACCGGAGAGTCTAGAGTCAGCGACGGTCGTTTACCGTGTGTTTCTTATTGGCAACGAGAAACCTCGATGGCTGAAGATCGCGTCTAGCGGCTTGACGCTCTCTCTCTCTCTCTTGCTCTCAATTGAGTTGCCATATTTTAGGTAAAAATCAGCAGTGCTACCAACATTTCAATGGAAATTTATATCAAAACATATGGCAATGCTGTTAAAAAAAACAAATATTTTCAAAGATTGTGGACGATTTTTAACGAATTAATAATAAAATGGAAGAAAAATTAATCGAGAAATAAAAAATACGATATTTTGTATAACTTACAAGAACACAATAAAAAAGGAAGAAATTTGGAAGAGCATTACATTTGTTGCCTCTAGCCGCTAACTCTTTCCTTTGGTTTTTACGCCGGCGAAAAAGTATGCCGCTGACTCCTGACACTCTGGTTGCGTTTACACTCTAAGCCTTCAGTGTTCGCTAAACGAATTAGAGTCGGATTCGAGCGATTTTATTAAGAATATCAGGCCTGTGTCTGAAAAAATTTGTTTTTACACCCTTCCCCTATTTGTATCTTTTGAAATAGCCCATCAAATAAAGCGGAAGCAATAACATTTTGTTGAAATCGCTTTTCATCTTGCCAAAGTGCAGAATGTGAAACCCATTAAGGAAAACATATTAAAAATAATTTTTTACAATTTGCATACTTTAATTGCAGTGTTGAGTGCTTTGACAAAAAAGTTAAACCTCAACATTTGCGAACCCCAACAAAGTGAATGATCACTTAGTCACACACTTTTGGCTAATTGAAATTCTCAGCTTAAAAGTCATCATGCCATAACAGCAACAGTCAACAATAGGGTAGTAATAAAGGCCCGAAAAATCACACACAAATTAGAGAGGTGAGGTAATGGCAGACAATTGGGCGCCATTCTAAGATTTATTGCCTCCCATAAAAGCCCACCGCACAATTTTCACAATATATAATTTAATTAAAAAGTAAAACTAACTAAAAAATATATATAATCCGATCATAAAAAATGCATCTCACAATACTTCGTACTTCATATAATGATGATAATCCCTTAACCGGCAAGTCGTAATTACAACAACGATTGTTGTTGTATTTTTTATGACAATATGTTTGACGCATTACATTTTTTATTTTTTTGTGAAGTGACACCGTCACCTACTCTGAACCTGGTTGAATGGTTGTTGTTGCTGCTGTGTTTTTTCGGGGTGTTCGGTTGAACGAAACTCTTCCTACTCCACAATGGCCAGCCATTGTAAGCGAAGTTAATTAACGCTTCAGCTAGTTAATGATGCGGTAGTTGTAGTGTTTTTCGCTTGATGTTGTTGCAGTTGTTGTCTTATGCTTCTGATAATATGTGTATCGTGGAAAATATAAAGCGTAACTAAGTGGAAAGGTTACGAGGTGGGTATGATTAGAGTGAGAAGAAGACCACTAATTTTAAATCATGTAGCCGATCATGTAGCTCATCTTGAAAGAGAATTTAATAAAAAAAAAACATTTACATGAATGATCCTTAGCCCTAAAAAGGCATAAAACTCAAAAATTCAGCTTGAGCCCGGCTGGGATTTGAACCCTGGTTCCCATGGCATAAAAAGGAATGTTCTGGTATGATGCCAAATGTCCGAACCTTGACACGGTTGAATTTAATTCGTAGATGCAATTTCGCAACAGTCGACATAAATACAACTTATCAAATAAAGACATTTGTAAGCCACAATTGCCCAATATGCCTGATGAGCCGCTTAACAAACATCGAAACGTATCGCATAATGGTGAGAATGTAGTATCTCTCTGGCTTTCCTTTTTTTGCAGTATATTTCTTACCTACTTACTTAGCTGGCTTGTTACAGAACGGTGGTTCCATAAGCCGAGCTTAAAAAAGATTTCCAAGCGCGTCAGACTTGTGCGCATCTCCACCAATTTGAAAGACCACGTTTCAAGATGTTGTTTTCTACTTGGTCTTTCCATCTAATTCGTGGCCTTCCCCTTCTACGGGAACCATCAGTAGGCTCGTTTTTATATGTCTTTTGCGCTGGGGCATTCTCATTCATTCGCACAACATGGCCTAGCCACCAACTGACTATGTCGATGTCCGCATATAAATTGTAAAGCTCGTCACACAATGTTCGACCCGATATTATCGATGTCATCGGCGTAGGCGAGAATTTTTGTTTCAAACACCCCAAGAGCTGTCTCATCTACTTGCGCAAGTGCCCATGCTTCAGATCCATATAACACCTTTTCCAGCAGGATCTTGTAAAGTGTGAGTTCACGTCGGCGGGACTGTGGCCTTGTTTCTAAACTGCTTACCATAGACCATCGTAGCATCTGTTGGCCATCACAATCCTTCTCCGAATTTCAAAACTGATGTCATTCGTTTTATTTATGGCGGTACCAAGGTATATAAAGTCTTTAACTACCTCGAAGCTGTAGTTCTCAAGTTCCACGGTTGGTCCGAGTCTACTGGGCGTCTGGCGCGTTGATACCATCAGTTTGGTCTTCTCGCCATTTACTGTCCCGGACCCACTTTGGCAGACTCCTTCTCAATTTGTTCAAGTGTGGCTGTTACCGCTCGCAATGTTCGACCCATTATATCGATGTCATCGGCGTAGGCGAGTAACATGTATTGTTTGGTGTATAAAGTGCCATTTCTGTTCTGTTCGCATTTGCGTCTCGTATGACCTTTTCCAGTAGGATGTTAAAAAGACCTCGTTCGGTATTGAAGGGCTCCGATAGGTCCTTTCCTACTTTAACTGCTGACCTTGTGCCACTTAAAGTTACCCTGCATAGCCGTATTAATTTTGCAAGAATGCCGAACGCTGGTATAGTTCGGCTGGTAACCCATCGGTTCCTGCTGCTTTGTTGTTCTTGAGCCGATTAATTGCTTTTATGACCTCATCTTGGCTAGGTGGTATACACTATATACCATCATCTCTTATTGGTTCTGGGGTATCTTCTTCACCGCCACTATTTGATACCAGAAGCTGTTCAAAATGCTCCTTCCAGATCCTTAGCACGCTGTCTGTATCTGTCAACAGGTTTCCGTATTCGTCTCTACAGTAGGATGCGCCTGCACCAAAACCTTCGTTTTGGTGTTTTACCCGTTGGTAAAATTTCCGGACTACATTCTGACTCCTGTACATCTCGATTTGCTCACGCTCACGTTTTTCCTGTTCTTTCTTCGTTTTTCTGAAAACACGATTCTCCTCTCCTTTTTTTCTCCCGATAATTCTCCATCACATTACGTGTTGCTACTGTCTGCAGGGTTGCCCTATACGCTGCGTCTTTCACATCAGTAGCATTACGACACTCCTGATCGTACCATACATAGGTTTCTCGGTGGTGGTTTTTGGTACCCAAGTGTTGCTCTGCAGTTTGTGGGGAGTGGACAATTCTTTGCCATTGTGCTTCTATACTATTATCGGGACAAGAAGTGCTTTCGTCAAGCAGGTGGGTAAGTTGAGCGGTGTAGGCCTCGGCTACCTGTTGTGTTTGCAGCTTTTCGACGTCGAGTTTCCGTGTTGTGTTAGATCGCATTAAGACGAATGCAAACCTTGACTGCCACAAGGTAATGGTCCAAATCGATATTCCCTCCTCGGATTGATCGATCGTCTAAGACTGATGTAGAAGAACTTCGCTTTTATGTGGATTATAGCAATTTGCTCATCTACTGGAGTGAATCTGTAAACGAGGTATTTTATTCTTCCGTTGACCATAAATCCGCAACATTTGGGGGGGGGGGGGGGGGGTGGGTTGGGGAGGGGTGTGTTGGTTTTCTTTTTCTTTGCATTTTCATAGTAGGAGGGGTTTTCCGAGTGTGGGCAACTAACCCGACGCCTCAATCCATTTTTTATAGTTCTTATGGGTGAACTCGCGGTACATATCAGCTCACTATTTCAACGGGTGATGAAAATAGCTACCCCAGATGACACCGCGGGGAGGTCAGTGTCCACAATTGAGGTGAAAGAGGGACCAAGATAAGCCTGAACTTCGCCATGCTAAAGCCAATCAGAGCCGTTGCTTAGTATCTATCATCCCCTTCGCCACCCGAGCTATTTTTTGAGAGTCGTGGATATTTTTAATAACTTTTTTGGGTCTACATATTTTTGCATAACCTTTAATGTTATTATTTTGTTTTATCTTCCAGACATCCACGAAACATCCGAATCCCTACTAACACCCGATGAGGCCCTTAATCGCAAATTCGCCAACAGTAATGCCACTCATTCGGAACTGGTGAGGGCGGTACGTGAATCCCTGCGGGAATATGAACTCTATAGGGAAAGGCAGAAACGATCAAGGTAAGCATTTAAAGACTCATCTCCCAAAAAATTCTATATAACCTATATCTATATAACCTCTCTTTTTTTGCACTAGGGTCAAACGAGCTTCTGCCAAACGAGTGTGTTACGATGAATTGGGTTGCTTTGAAGATTCCGGTCCATTCGCCTATTTGGAAATGTTGCCATCACCGCCCCAAGAAATCAACACCAAATTCTTTTTCTATTCGACAAAAAATCGTTCGGAACGACCACTCATGGAATTGCCTTTCCTCAATATGTCTGAGGCCTTTAAGAATACCAAATCGTATCATCGTAAGAGAAGTCTGAATGGCACCGAGAATCCCGAAATGGCCACAGAACAGCCAACAACAACAGCCATGCCCATACGCAAGACAACAACCTTCCATAAGGTTCCGATTACCCTGGACGATTTGGATGGTTTCGATGAAATGTCCGTGAGGGTTATTGTGCATGGTTTCGGCTCCGCATGTCCTCATGTTTGGATCTATGAAATGAAGACCGCCTTGATGGCAGTGGTGGGTATTTGAAATGCGGGAGTTTTTTTGGAATCGTTTTTAATTGAAATCCTATTTGCAGGAAGATTGCATTGTCATCTGTGTGGATTGGGAGAATGGGGCCACCTTCCCCAATTATGTCAGAGCTGCCACAAATACCCGTTTGGTCGGCAAACAACTGGCCATGTTGCTGAAAAATCTCCAAGAATATAAGGGCTTAAATTTGGCCCGAACCCACATCATAGGTTTTAGTTTGGGTGCCCATGTTTCGGGTTTTGCTGGAGCCGAACTACCAGGCCTGGCTCGTATTACCGGTTTGGATCCTGCAGGACCTCTCTTTGAGGCACAACATCCTAAAGTTCGATTGGATAGTAGCGATGCAGAATTTGTTGATGTCATCCACTCGAATGGAGAGAATTTGATATTGGGTGGTTTGGGTTCGTGGCAACCCATGGGTGATGTTGATTTCTATCCGAATGGAGGAAGAGTTCAGACGGGATGCTCAAATCTTTTCGTGGGAGCTGTGACCGACTTTATATGGTGTATGTTTGGGACTGAAAATCTATGAATTTTATTTTCATTTTATATTTTTTTGCCATTAGCTGCCCAAACTGCGGAGGAGGAAGAGGGTCGTTCCCTGTGTAATCATCGTCGGGCCTATAAATTCTTCATTGATTCGGTGGCTCCGCGCTGTTTGTTCCCCGCCTTCCCCTGTGCCAGTTATGAAGACTTTTTAAAGGGCAAGTGCTTTCCCTGTGCCCAAGATGACGAGGATTTGGCTGAAGGTGTACCCCGCTGTGGTAATATGGGCTATTATGCTGACCGGTCGTCGGGACGAGGCCAATTGTATCTACTGACGCGAGAAGAGGAACCATTCTGTGCCCATCAGTTCCAGCTGCAAATATTTAATTCCTTTAATGATTTGCCATTGAGGACCATTGGTCGATTGGAGGCCATACTGGAGGGAGAGGGGGGACTCAATGAGACGTTCCAGATATCAGAGTAAGTGAATAAAAATTTAAACATTAAAATTTTTTTTTTAATTTTTTCTATCAAATATTTTTTTTCTCTTTTCAGAAAAGATGATTCGGAATTCTTTGCCGGCGACATTGTATCCAAAATCATTGTGCCACATCCAGCTCTGGGCTTTCCAACAACCCTTAGCCTGAACTACAAACACTATAGCGGCTGGCTATCCAAGGGTCTACCCCATTGGGATATAGACAAGGTAATCCTAACCGATAGCTATGGTCGCAGCCATTCCCTGTGCAAACCCAATACAAAACTGTCCACCGGCAGCCCGGTGCGCCTGAAATTGCAACCCGGCAATTGTGAACTTGACAACCAGGATGAATACGGCGCCTTTACCTCAAAACCTGTAACAGAAGCTCCAGCCGATTCCACAGCCCAAGAGAGTGTACAAGCACCCGAAGCAGATGCCGATGCTATTGAAACCATAAAGAAGCATAAAAATTTCCTCAACCTGGGCTCCAGCTTCAAGCTGGGTGAAAATCAATCCTTCACCTTGGAGGAGAATGGCGATTTGCCCTGGCAACCCATATTGGAGGGTAATTCGTTGGACAAGGAACAAGGAGAAACTAGTCGCAGCTTTTCTGAACAACCCCAAGAGATATTTGAGCCCATTTTAAATGATCGCAGATTAAATGTAAATCGTGGTAGGAATTTGAATGATTTCACGGGGGTGGGCGAGATTATGGAACCGGTATTGAAGGCCACCACACCCCGGGTGAAGAAGGGCAAGGAAATAATTTTACCTGATCCGCAGCCCATAACTGATCGCCCCGATAAATTTGAGATAATCAAAATAACCCCCTTAAATAAACAGGAGAGGCCGAAATCTGCCACGGAGGAAACAGAAACTGTGACCGTGCAATTGTTCCCCTTCCGCTTGGGAGAATTATTGCAGCGGGCCGAGAGATATGCCCGAGAAACGATACTCCCCTTGATATCGGTACAGGCACCACGTTTCTTTGGTTTTAATGTCGGTCCTGCTGCTGCTGCCGGCCCCAATGCAGAGAGCCTTAAATCGGAAACTCGTAAACCCCGCTATATACCACGCTTTGAGGAACATCAGCCTCAGATGCTTAGCGCAAATAAAAGGAAACGTACCAATTCTGATTCTCAGAGGGAACAACGTAATATATTTGCTCTCCTTAGGCCAATGGGTATTATGGCCAATGCACAACCCGAGCCCATAGCCCAAGAGTCACAAGATTCACCCACATATTATACAAATATTGTTATGACCGAATCGAGAGCATTGAAACCGGAAAATCCCGACTATGAACCGGTATTTATTGATTTACCCACCTATAGGCCACCCAGGGCTCGTACAGCACGAGCGGCATTTTTTAACGCATATCACAGTAGTAGCAGAACGAATTTAAAAAAATCATAGAATTTTCAAAAATTTTGGTTTTCAAATCGGATCCAAAGGGGACTGCTTGGCAGTTGAGATCCTTGAAAAAAAAATTAAAATTAAAAAATACAGAGATGAAAAAAATATATATGTGATATACCTAGAACAAAAATAATTCAAATAAATATTGGGAAATACAATTGTCCCTTAGGAGCTGTGGACCTGTAGAGAACAAAAACTTCAAACTGACTTTAAATCCATTTCAGATTTTAGGCTAGAAGCTGATTTAAACAAAAATACCAGTTTTCAGCCCAGGACAATATTTAAGTAATATTTTTTTTTATAAAACGAAACCGAAACGTGTTATATTTTTAAAATTTTTGTATGTCGATTTTTTTTATATATATTTTGTTTGTAATTAAAATAAGTTTAAATATACTACAGCTAGTTTTTAAGTATTTATTTATGTAAACCTTATGTATATATGTTTCTTTTTTTGATATAACAGGATTTTGTATATAAGTATATACATAAATATATATATTGTAGCATACACATACTATACAAATAAAAGGGGCCATACAAATTTCATTACCAGCCCTCGATATTTTTGTATGTTATATTCAATAAAAAAATATTGTTTTTATATATAAATTGGGAATTAATTTTTGAGGTCTAATCACAGGATTCAATTTTCTCGAAACTTAACACACATCATTCTAAACTCAGTTCAGTACGCTATGCCAAATTTCTTGCAAATCGAAAGCTATATAGGGACTTTAGTACATCATTTACCTAAAATCCGACGAAATTATATATGGGAGCTATAGCTAAATCTTAACCGATTTTTATGAATCTTAACACACATCATTCTAGTCTCAATTTAGTACGATATGCCGAATTTCGTGCAAATCGAAAGCTATATAGAGACTTTGGTGCACCATTTTCATAAAATCCGACGAAAATATATATGGGAGCTATACCTAAATCATAACCGATTTTTACGAAACTTAACACACATCGTTCTAGTCTCAATTTAGTACGCTATGCCAAATTTCGTGCAAATCGAAATCTATGTAGGGACTTTGGTTCACCATTTACATAAAATCCGACGAAAATATATATGGGAGCTATAGCTAAATCTTAACCGATTTTCACGAAACTTAACACACAGCATTCAAGTCTCTATTTAGTACGCTATGCCAAATTTCGTGGAAATCGAAAGATATATAGGGACTTTGGTGCACCATTTACTTAAAATCGGACGAAAATGTATAAGGGAGCTATATCTAAATCTGAACCGATTTTCACGAAACTTAGCACACATCAATCAAACTTAACACACATCATTCTAGACTCAATTTAGTACGCTGTGCCGAATTTCGTGCAGATCGGAGGACATATAGGGTCTTTGTTGCATCAATTACCTAAAATCGGACGAAAATATATATGAGAGCTATAGCTAAATCTTAACCGATTTTCACGAAAATTAACAAACATCAATCCAGACTCAATTCAGCACACTATGCCAAATTTCGTGCAAATCGAAAGCTATATAGGGTATATTGGTGCATCATATACACAAAATCGGACGAAAATGTATATGGGAGCTATATCTGAATATAAACCGATTTTCGCGAAAATTAACACACATTATTCTAGACTCAGTTTAGTATGCTATGCCAAATTTCGTGCAAATCGAAAGCTATATAGGGACTTTGGTGCACCATTTACATTAAATCGGACGAAAATATATATAGGAGCTATATCTAAATCTTAACCGATTTTCACGAAATTTAACACACAACGTTATAGACTTAATTAAGTACGCTATCCCAAATTTCGTGCAAATCGAAAGATATATAGGGACTCAGAAAGTGATTCTATGCATATTCTCAAAAGGAGCCATGCGTCTATCTCGTTTCCTTTTGCCTATTACAAACATATGCACAAAGACATAATACTCTGCAACACAGTATGGTGAAGGATATAAGAAATAGTTTAAAAATTCCCCACAGATTAATACTTTTATAAGAACTTCGAAAAAGTATTCATTAAAAATATTCTCAAACTATCGGTACTCCAAAACATAATCTTTCTGCTCTATTGGTACTTGAAAAAAAAATATTCGTTAAATAATCGACGCTCTATTAGCAGTTGAAAAGAAATTTTCTTTAAATAAGCCTTGTTCGATTAAAACTTGGATAAATATTCATAAAAAAAACTCCAGCCGATGGATACATAAAAACTTCCTTTAAGAAATCTGCAGGTGGTATTTTTAGCAATGAAAATTAAAAAAAATCGATTCAATTTTTTTTGTTCTCTTAATTAATTACAACCCACAAAAACTACATTTCTCCCCCTATCCAAAAGTGAAAGTTCCACTCAAATATCTCCATTCAGCTCCGAGTTATGGCCATTTAAAATTGACCATGTGTCAAAATATAGCTGCTACACGATTTGCGGGACACTTATTTTTATATGAACTACTCGTCAAAACATATACTCCAATACTAATAAATATCTGTCAAGGTGATGGTATTTTATCCTCTGAAATCTTAAATAGCAAATTTCAATCACTTTGATTGAAAACTTCGAATGCGAACAGCATTTTGGCGATTTAAATGATGATGTCCACTTGATAAAATTGCACCATAACATGTTTTCTTTATTTCCTTTTCTGACAATCGTTGTTGTTTTTCTCAAAATGATTTAATTTCCCAATGACAACATGACATTCAGCAACAATCTAATAATCAAAATTTTCTCAAATACACCAATTTCCAGCCATTCAAAGCTAATTTAACGTTTTTTGCAAATGATCGCGATTTCCCTAGTTCTCCCTTGTGTTTATCGATACACATACAAACTACACAATCTCCCCTACCCAACGGTACAAGTTTTTGTCGATACGTACATTATAATTACTGAGTTATAGCCATTTCAAGTTGACCTTGTGTCAAAATATAGCGGCTACACGATTCTGTTGGCCTGGTACCTCAAATTGGAAAAATGGTTGAAATTGGCATTTTTACAAAAGCGAAAAAGTACAAAACAGCAGCATCATTGCCACATTGTTCGATTTTTTTCATTGATTTGATGGTTGGTTTACAAATTCTGAGCATACTTTCAGGCGCATCATTTCAAATTATATCCATGTGAAAGTTATATGGCTGGTGATTTTAATGTAACGCCTAAAATTATGCTCCGAATTTTTAAACTAACATTAAAACACTATGGTAGCGATCTGGTAACATTGCAGTATTTTGTGGTTTTACCCATTTGCGATTTCTTCATTTTTCCAATTTGAGGTACCAGGCCAACAAAATCGTGTAGCCGCTATATTTTGACACAAGGTCAACTTGAAATGGCTATAACTCAGTAATGAATGTACGTATCGACATAAAACTTTTACCGTCGATTAGGGGAGATTGTGTAGTTTGTATGTGTATCGATAAACAAGTATTTTCACCACGGAGAACTAGGGAAATCGTGATCATTTGCAACTACGTTAAATTAGCTTGGAAAGGCTGGAAATTGATGTATTTGAGAAAATTTTGATATTAGGGCAATTCTTTACCATTGCGCTTTTCTATTATTATATCGGGACAAGTAATGCTTTCCTCAAGTAGGAGGGTAAGTTGAGTGGAGTAAGCTTCTGCTACCTGTTGTGTTTGCAGCTTTTCGACGTCGAGTTTACGTGTTACATTACATATCGCACCTTTGCTGCTACATTAAGACGGGTGGGAACCTTGGCTGCCACAACTGTCATGTTTTTTACTGCCGCGTAGTCAGTCAACATCATGCCGTTGTCGGTTGTTTCTTCATGGAGGCTGAATTTTTCGACGGTGGGACCAAAAATATTTTCCCTTCCGATTTTTACATTAAAATCTCCTAACAGAATTTTATTGTCATGGCCTGGACAGCGATCATATGCTGTTTCTAGGCGCTCGCAAAATATGTCTTTGGTCTGCTCATCTTTGTCGATGTCTGTCGGAGCATGGGCGTAAATAAGGCTGATGTAAAAGAACTTCGTTTTTATACGGATTATAGCAATTCGCTCATCTACTGGAGTGAATTTCGAGACGAGATATTTTATTCAAATTCATGCCTCGTTTCCTGGCAGCTATAACACATTGCGTAACGTTTTAATTTATCATCTGATGAATTCGCGGCACATATCAGCTCACTATTTCAACGGGTGGTAAAAATAGCTACCCCATGTGACACTCCCGGGAGTTCAGTGTTCACAATTGTGATGAAAGAGGGACCTAAGCCTGGGCTTTGCCATGTTAAAACTAATCAGAGTCGTTTGTCCATTATAATTTGTTAACACGATACAGGCCACAGTTGTGGACCAATCTTCACGAAATTTTGCATGTAGGTGGAGTTCTGGCCAACGAAGACCCCTATTATTTTTGGTAATGATCGGTTAATATTTAGGGGATGAAATGGACCAAATACTTAATTTTTGTCGATTATTCTGGTCGCTCCAGAGCCCGCAATTATGGCCCGAACATCGCGAAATTTTACATGGAGAAGGGAATCGGACCAAAGAATAAGCATACCTGTTTTGATAAAGATCGGGACTTTTGTGTGAAAAATTACAATGGCGAATATATTTACACTGAAATATTTACAGAAGTTGGTAGTATATCAAGATATTACCTTTAAATTGATACCAATTATATTGTCGTACGTTCTCGGATGAGGGAGTTACACGTAAATATTTATATTCACATATTATTTAGTAACCCATTACCACACTGGATGGCATAAATATAGCGCCGATCGATTAGAAATTTTCCTATAATTGCCTATAATTTTCGGTGATGATCAGATAAACATTTTGGGATGAAATGGACCGAAAATTTAATTTTTTTTGTGTTATTCTAAGTCAATATATAGGCCACAATTATAAGACGAACATCACCACACAACTCACGGTGAAGGGAATCTGGGCAAGTAATTAGGAGGGCTGTATTGATTATTAGTACTGAATATTAGTAACATTCGGAAAATATGTCAGTGTAAGGTAG